TGTGTCCCTTTTGATTGGCTAGAGTGATTACTTTGATTTGGTTTTATGACCCTGAATTGAAAACCACTATTTTTTTATTTTATATATCTTGACTTGCATAAAAATGCTCCAGCTTCGATGCTGAAGCCTAAATGTGGAGATGTTGAAATAATTATTATTTGAACCAGAAACAACAACACTTTTTTGGCATTCATAAAAGACGAAGTAGCACTGTTGTTTTCAAGTGATTTTGTTCTAAATCATGTACTGGTATAAGCCATTTGTATTTTAAGGAGCTGCTTTTATTCACATAGAATTATGAAATCATTGCTTATGAAAGAAGAATTATGAAATCTGAAATAACTATCCATTACATGTAAGTATGTTGCACACACAGTAATGCAGTGTATTTACTAGTACATGTAGTTTCTGGTACAGAATACATGAAGTGTCAAATGTGTGTGGCGAGTTTACAGAGTGCAGCGATATACACTGATTTGTTGTATCATGGCTGGGCAAATATTGCTATCCAAAAAATATTTCAGTTTAGAAATTCACAACTTGTGTAATTTACTGTGTAAAATGATGTATATTGACTTTTTAAACTGAAGTAAAAACTAAGAAAAGAAAAATTGTTCACTATAATGATCGTTTTCCTCAGGTGATCGTGCTGCTGACAAGTAACATTGTTGAAATGAACTTTTGTGGTAAATTACAGCCTAAACAATCATGCAATTACAAGTATGATACTCTTATGTCCAAAAGAAAGTCTTTGAATAATATTTTATTGTGTCTAATATAACTAGGGCCTGTTAGAAAGTGACAATCAGTCACAAATTGCGAACAAGAATATAGATTTTGAATTCTGTAAATTTTGATATTGTACGGAAACCATATTGGATCAAACTGTTATTTATTGTTTGAAACTTGCTAGGGATTTTTTTGTTGTGGAAGATTTTGAGTTTAAGTTGGGTTTATGTGGAAGTTGAGTTGTGTGCAGCAGCTGAATTTGTTTCTTAGAAAAATCAGTTTTGTGCAGCTGGTGATTTTGTGAACAAGTTGAATTTTGTATGCAAGTTTAAATTAAAGTTTCCATAGTCCCCCAAATTGTTATTGTTTTTTGTTTTTGGGACAAGGGTTTGTGGTGGTACAGACTTAAACCCAGTAATACGAAATATGTCACTGAACCTTGTTGGTGAACCCATTTTTAAAGCAGCACTTTTTGGTCTTCGAGATAGTTAAACACTTAAATTTCATAACATCTGGTTACCCAAAACCAGAATCCCTAAATTTTACATTAAATATTTTCCTTTCCAAATGATGTGTCACAGTTTGACAAGAAATATACTGAAAAATAACTCTGACTAGTAAACCATTAACCACAGTCATGCTAAGCAACACATTTTGAACAATTTGGTATTGGGGCATGCAAATATTTTTTTTATGTTCGTGTACACTGTTATAGCTTACTTAAGGTAATAATTATCTCTTGTGTTTGGCACATGGATGTAGTGTTCTGCTGAAAAAGTTAGTAACAAATTCTTACCTTTATTTTTCATCCTTTGATAACTTCTTAGTTATACTTTTTGTTATGAAATGTTTCAGGCGTATGGCCTGTCCTACACCACATACATAATTTGTCTGTATAATTTTGAATTTTTACTTTATTTTTCCATTATATTTTATTACATTAACACTTCACAGTTTTATAGGCTTAGATCTGTGAATGCTTGGCATCATTTATTTATTAGTAAAAAATTTAAACCTGTGCTGTTTTTAAACTTGCTTTTAGAACATTTGAGATTGAGGTACATTGTTGTTTAGTGCCTCAAATTGACTTTGATTGCCTTAATTTGTGAATTAAATGTATCAGAGGGAAGTGAATACTATCTTTATGTATTTTTGTTATTCATGGAGAATGCCTGTGCTTGTTATGTGCAATTAAATGTTTTATGTGTGCATGTTTAATTACCCACATGTACGGAGAATAGTCTTGTGCTTGGCACACTGCTCATTCTTTAGATAGAGACCCTCCACTGAGACAGAGCATCCTTTAGATTAGTTCCTTTCCAGAAGCACTGACAATTACTGAAAGGCATATTATTCAACACAGGAAGCGTATTTGTTCCTTTATCCAACAGTCATATCTTCCCTTGTGTTCAATAAAAGAGGTGATTTGAATATGTCATAAAAGTTTCCTTGTTGTTAATGTCACATGCAAGTGTGAAAAAAACAATCATTCCAAACACAATGCAATTGAACTTATGAATTCTAATGTGTGCAGTTCATTTGAATAATCCCTTGAAGAACACAATAAAGTTTATTTTTAGGTAATTAATCTTCCTTTCAGATGTAAAAGCAATTGTTTCCCACTTTCAAAGTCAAGTTCATTTACCAAAGAAGTGTTTCTTTTATGTGGCAAAATATTTTGCTTGGAGTGACATTTCAGCTAGGTCATTTTTACTAACTGGTGGGCTGCCTAAAGTTTCTCTGCAGGTATCATACATAATTTATCACTGAACTGTCTGAATCTGCATTTAAAATAACTGTGACATGGATCTGAAAATGTAAATATATGCAAATAAAAGTCGATTTTCATTAAAAAGGAAGTGCTTTTGTAATCACTTACCATAGTGAAAATGTTAACTGGAAGTGAAGTTTGAAGTCATTATGGCTGTGTTTGGTGTTTGTGGCTCAAGTAAACTACAACATGAAGGAGGCTATTTGTACAGTTTGTGAGTCCAAGGAGCCTGTTATTTGTTGTGCCACTTGTGAAGCATTGTACTGTGAAAACTGCAAAATATCCATCCATGAAAAGGTACAGTCAGCAATCCATTACTTTAACTTAATTTTTTAAAGCTGACTTTTGGCCAGATTACTTGCAAATTTGTGGATGCTGTTATAATCTTACTCTTAGGTGTTGTTATCTCATTACTGATTCATGTCACACACCAAGATAAAGACATGTGTTGGGTAGATTATTCTGAATAGAGCACTTGGTGACATGTGTTGAATATGCTGATGGCCAGAAAGACTTGTAAACCCTTGCTTTTTCAGCCATAAGCTTAACATTTTTTTCATTTTTTACTAATAAACAGCTTTTTGTAATGATGTATCATGTCAGGATATAACTGCATGTGCAATTCTGTTGTGGTCTTGCTGTGTGTGATATTGAACTTAGAGACAACATAAGCCAGTTTGAATGCAGAATTTTATGGCTTGTGTAAATTTTTTAGACTGTATATTAGGTCTTATTGTGTCTGAGTTTCTTGTTTTCATTTGGGATGAACTGTATATCTTTTACCCTTATCTATTTTAAGTTTTATTCTATTCATATTTTAGCACTATTTTCACCTAATGGCAGTGGCAGTTATTTCAATTAATGGTATCAGTTTCTACTTTTGTACAAACTGCGTTTGTTGTTGGTAACATTTTGCTGTTATCCTTTCCAGTGAGAAATATATGTGTAATTAAAAAAGTTAATGGTACATAATAGCAGTGTTTGTTTCTCTGTAGTACATGTTTTATAGTCATTTCATAAAGAAGTAAAGTTTTGTGCAAAACCACATATTTTTCTGTTAACAATTTCCCCTCATGCTTGACAGAATTATAGATTTTACACTCTATTATTCTCATTCAGCTTTCTCTTGTAAATTTGGTCTTGTAGGAGATCTCACATAATATTTCTTGCAGTTTAAAAACTAGAACTGTGATCTAGTGAAGTTTTGACTTACTCTCTCACTACCTTTCAAACACACTGTTATTTTTAGCTATTAGTGCATTGAATAGTGTTTAATACTGACTCAGGCTTGAGTGTGCATCATCAAAATAAGTATGATGCATGCAGGAAGTTTGGAGAGTGCAAAAGAAATGCTAGAGTTGACCAAGCCAGACACAGGTCAAGCAAATCTTTTGTGCTCTCCAAACCTTGTGCATGCATCATAACTGAATGATGCACTGGTAAAAGGATGAATAAATTGTTTTATGACATTGCCAATTTACAGACTATCTCTTATTTTAGTATCAGTACATTTAGAAGTGAATAGATGAAAAATCATATATTTGAATAGTGGGATAAAGATTAAAAGATATCAAAGATCATTGTAGTTTTGTGTGCAACTTAAGTAGTTGCCAATAGAAAGCCTGGGAAATGAATTCAGGCTTGAATGGGATTTGTAAGTCATTACAAAAATGCAATGATCTTTACAAACTTCACCAACTCACAACTTGACCAGCTCCAAGTTAGTCATGGATTTCACAATCCTGTTCAAGTTTATTTTTTAGTTCAAGCTTCTTTTTAGCTTCAGCCAAGTTGCATACAAAATTAATATGCAATAATCTTTTATTTCTCTATGGATCGTTTTCACTGTCACGCAATAAAAAAATAAATCGAAAACCATCCAGTGGAAAAAGCTATGAAAT